TGCGAACCTCGGCTTGGGTCACTTCACTCTCCCGCCTGAATTAACCCGGCTCACATAATTTTTTTTTTTTTTTTCCCAGGTAGGGAAGGTTTCCCTGCGCCTTCTCAAGAATATCTGCCTCAACTACAAAAGCCACCTGGATGGCAAAAAACCCAAAGGATTCCCCGCGCGTTAGCGAATGCCTGTTAAATGGCTTCATTACCGCTCTAATGACCCCTTGCACCGCTCAGCTACCGCTGCGGCTGGAGCTCTGCAAAGCTTTTGTCCCCGACTTGTGTAAAGTTACTTAGGGATTGCGGGGTTAGAAATTTTACACTTTCCAGGAGGGGTTTGTTGCACTGGCAGCTGGGACGCATCTGTAACGGTACAAGTTGGCCTGAAAGCAGAAAATTAGCAAGCCCAAGGCACCGCTCGGCTGTTGTGTCTCTAAGCAGCACCCGGTCACACGAGTAGGAGAAAGAACGGGAAAGGGATTTGGCTGGGAGCAAACACGTACGCTTTTCTTTTGTGAGTCCCTTTCCCTGTGACCCGATCCGACAGCACTAAAATCTGGGTTCTTCCCCCCGCCCCCCGCTCCTCGTCTCTCCTGGCCGCAGGGAGCTGTGCGGTTTTCTCCTCTAGTTTGTAAATGCAAAAGGTTGGTGATACAGCTTCAGTTACAGGACAAAGCTCTCCCGGAGATAAATGAACAAATCCTAGGTCTGAAAAGAGGGGGAGTAAATGGTTTCGGGTCAGACCTGGACCACGGGCTGTGGGGAATAAAGATGCGAGCAGACGCCTTAGGTGCTATGGGGGGGGCTCTACGTTAATCCCCCCATGGGGAGAGCCGGTGTCCCTGCCGCTGCAGCGTGTGATGGGAGATGGGGGCCGCAGGGACGAGGAACGAGCTCTGTAGGAAATTTCAGCGGTTCGTGGGCGCCCGCTGCCCCTCTTTTCTCTTTCCATACCAAACCTGCGAATTCCCAGGCTTGGTTTAAACTTCGGAGATGTCGCAGCCAGCTCTGGGGAGGTCGTGCCTTAGAGAAGTGCCCGGCTCACCCCTCTCCAAAGGAGCGGTGCGGAGCAAATTGTCTCCTGGGGACTGGAGGGGGCTTGCCCAGACAGCCCCCGGCGGGGGATGTGGTGAGATATGCTAATAAAGACTGGCCGCCGCGGACCAGCCTCCCTTTACATGTATATATAAGGGCCCCCCGCATCAGCCGGAGGACACTCCGTCTCAGGTCGCTAATTACGGAGGGAATTGCCCCAGCGCGCTGCGGAGCGCCTCGCCGGGAGCCGGTGGCGGCCGCCCCACACCGACGCCTCCGCTGCAGGGATGGAGGTGATGGACAGCTGCCAGTTCTCCCCCTCCGAGCTCTTCTATGACAGCTCCTGCCTATCCTCCCCGGAGGGCGAGTTCCCCGAGGATTTCGAGCCCAGGGACCTGCCTCCCTTCGGCGCCCCCGAGCCCCCCGAGCCCGCCTGCTCCGAGGAAGAGGAGCATGTCCGAGCTCCCACCGGCCACCACCAGGCCGGCCACTGCCTCATGTGGGCTTGCAAAGCCTGCAAGAGAAAATCCACCACAATGGACCGGCGGAAGGCGGCCACCATGAGGGAGAGGAGGCGGCTGAAGAAAGTCAACCAGGCTTTCGAGACCCTGAAGAGATGCACCACTGCCAACCCCAACCAAAGACTCCCCAAAGTAGAGATCCTGAGAAACGCCATCAGATACATCGAGAGCCTCCAGGAGCTCTTGAGGGAACAGGTAGAAAACTACTATCACCTGCCGGGACAGAGCTGCTCCGAACCGACCAGCCCCACTTCCAGCTGCTCCGATGGGATGGTAAGAGAGGGGCAGGAGCGATGGGGCTGTGGGGACCCCAGGAAGGCCCGCGGGCAGGTCCCCCCTCGACCCAGCGTCGTGGGACCGCTCCCAGGGGTGTGGGACGGGCCGAATGCAGCCGGACATCCCAGGAGAAGGCGGACGGCGGGCGTTAGCACAGGCCCCTTCCCAGATGTAACGCCGAGCCTGCACATGGGCTTTCC